ATCGTTCTGAGCAACTTTCATGTACAAAGTTTTTCCATCCGAGTTACGGATTATTTTATATTAATTTTAAAAGATTTAATCATTTTTAGAATTTATTTAATTATTTACCCCTAACATTATCCAGAATAGTGATTGCTGATGTCAGCATGACGTCAGCAGTTGACCTGGTCAACCTGACATGGGGGTCCCGCATGTCATTGCCTAACTAACTAACTAACGGTTTAGACAGATTAATTAGCAGGTTAATTTGGTTTAGTAGTTAGTTAACAGAATTAATTAAGTTATTAATTGATTTTATTTATTTATTTATTTATTTTATCATTATTTTTAATTCCTTTTTTATTCCTTTTAAAAAACGTTCTGGGGCTGGGCCCCACATGTCATAGGGCCAGGGGGGCACTGGCCCAGTGGTCAATGACCCTGGCCACAGCGGGCACGGGCGCACGGGCGAGCGGACACGGGCGCACGGGCGAGCGGGCGCTGGGGCGCTAGCGGCGCCCGACCTGGCAAGGGCCGAGCGGCGCAGATGCAGCAGGGGCCGCGGCGTATGGTGACGGAGTTCGGCACGGGGCCAGGGCGGCGGCTGGACGATGCGTGGGCGTGAGCGCCCGGACTGGGCGCGGCCAGTCAGTGCCACGGGAAGGGGAGGACGCCGGCGCGGCGCTGGCCGACGCCGGCATGGCAGCGGCGAGGCCACGGCGGGGCGAGGCTGTGGTGATGCGGGCCGTGCCAGGGCGCCGGGACGGTGCGTCGAGGCGGACAAGGCGAGGCCGACGCGCATAGGACGCGGCTGGAGCGCGTCAACCGCGGGCAAGATCGGCGGGGACCGCGACGATTAACGGAAGGAGAAGGCAGAGGGGGAGCTCACAGGGGGGCGTAGGGTTCTGGGCAGCGGGCTCGATGGAGGTCGGGGACGACGTGCGGAGGGGAAGCAGGCCGGCGGTGAGGTCCCGGCGAGGTGTGGGGCTCCGGGCGGTGACGATGGCCGGCGACGGCAGGGCTGAGGAGGAAGCCCAGCACGG